AGTTTTCCATAAACATTAGAGATAAGTCCCTTGTCAGAAATATGTCATTGACGAATATTTTTTTCTGAATCTGTAGGTTCTCTTTTTACTCTTTTGGAGAAGTCTTCTGAAGCACATAAAAATTTTTAGACGGTTCCTACTATCTAGTTTATTTTCTGCTGTTTGTGCAGTTTGGGTTATGCTTCATAGTCTATTTATGCCATAAATTAGGGCCCCTAAATTTGCCTCCATTTTTTCCTTAAGGAACTTTTTAGTTTTAGGTTTTGTGTTTAAGTCTTTGATCTATCTGGAGTTAGCTTTTGTGCATGGTGTGAGGTATGGTTCTTGTTTCATTTTTCTGCAAATGGATAACCAGTTTTGCCAGCACCATTTGTTAAAGAGACCATCTCTTCTCCATTTAATGCATTATGAAAAATCAGCTGACCTTGGGTTGATGAATCAATTTCTGGGTTCTCAATTCTATTTCACTGCTCTACGTGTCTGTCATTGCACCAATACCAGGCTGTTTTGACTAGTGTGGCTGTATAGTAGGTTTTGAGATCTGGCAGTGTGAGATCTCCTACTTTGTTCTTCTTTTTCAATAGTGCTTTGATTATCCAAGGTTTCTTTCCTTTCCAAACAAAATTAGTGCTTGGTTTTTGATATCCTTAAAGAATGTTGATGGGATCTGGATTGGGATTGCATTGAATGTATAGATTGCTTTGGGTATCCATATGGTTTTCAAGTTAGATCTTTTGGAAGATTAGCGCCAGGCCTGTCCTTCAAGGTGCCACTGGGTTGGTCTCAACTGCCAACTTTTTGGCTAGTAGTCGAGCACTTAACTGTGCCACTCCAGGACCTCTATAAGCATACTTTTTTTTTTTTTTTTTTTTTGATTTGGGTGAAGATTTACAGAGCAAATTCACTTTCCATACAGCAGTTCACATACACTTTGTCTCATGTCATTGACCACAGTTTACTGCAATGCAACAGCTCCCCTCCCACTTCCTCCCCATAGTTACCACTTCCCAGTGTCCATCCCTCCATACTCTCCTGCCCCCTGAGCTGTCTCCCTGTGCATAAGCAGCCCTTTCTTCTCCCATGATTGTTCTCTCCAGGGCATGTGTCTACTTGAGGTAAATGTTTAACTCACATGCCTGTACTTTTTGACTGAAAGCCACAGGTGTGGGTTCAATTCCAGACCTGAAGGGCAGCTAGGGGCCATAGTCTCAGTGGTTCCACCAGGCTCTATTGGACCAGCAAACCTAGTCCCAACCATCTTTTTTTTTTTTTCCTCCAAATGATTTTGAGTTTTGTTCCACATTGTTCTCCCTCTCTATCCAGGATCTCCTACATCCCTTCCAAGTGGATGACAGTGGTAGCTGGGCACCATCTAGTTCTTCTGGTCTCATAGTTGTATAGGTTGCAGATCGGATGGTGTACCAGTCGCGAGGACTGATTGTTTCCATTAATTTTGGTTTTCTTTCTTCTTTGCTCTTGATGAGGAGAGACCCATCATTGCATCTAGATGGTAGCTTGCTAGCTTTTAAGATCCCAGTCACTACTCACCAAAGTAGGAGGTGGAACAATGTTTTGTATAGTATGTTATGCCAGTTGGGCTTGATGTCCCCTGTGACTATGGTCCCAAGCCCGCAGGATCAACTACTCGGTCGCTCTGGGTAGCTGGCTGTGACCAACCGGTGACCACAACCTTGCCCCTTGTCAGCTCTACTCTACACCTGGGGATTCTGATCATTCACATAAACTTATAGGACCATTGTTGCTATAAGCATACTTTTCATGTTATGTCAAAAGTTCTTTGTATCTCTCCTCTTATATGACATACTCTCCTAGGTCAATGCTGTCACTCCCATGGCTTCAGTTGATGATTCCCAAATCTCTCAGCAGTTTCTCTCCTGAAGTCCAGAGCTCCTGAATATCTCTCCTCTTCTTTCTTTCTTTTAACATTATTTATGTAGTACGTTTTCAAACTTGGCTAGATACTGAACTTTCCTGAGATCCTTTAAAAACTCTTGAAGCCCAGGCTAATTAATTAGACTCTCTGGGTGTGGTAATCAGTCATCAATATTTATTGAAGCTGCCCAGGAGATTTCAATTGAGCCAAGTTTGAGAACCACTAATGTAAAAGAAGGAAAGAACTCTTGTGGTGCAGGGGTTAGACTTGGGTACTAACCAAAAGGTCAGCTGTTCGAACTCACCAACTGCTCTGCAGAAGATGAGGCAGTCTGCATTCATAAAGATTGACAGTCTTGGAAACGCTGTGGGGCAATTCTACATTGTCCCGTAGGGTCACAATGATTTGGAATCGACTCAATGGCATTAAGTTTTGGATTAGATCTAGAAGGCACTAGGATGGAAAATACAAGGATGGAGGAATTGTGCCATAATTTGGTCATTAATTGGATGGGGGTGACAGCAAAGTCAAAGTTTCTGATACAAGTGAAAGAACTCTAGACCTAGAATTCAGAGACCTGAGTAAGGCAAGTCTTTTAACTCTTTATGTCAAAATATTTCATTTGTAAAATCTTTCATAGGGTTGTGGTAAAGATTATTTGAAAAAAGAGGACATGAAAAGCTTTTGTAATTGTACAGTTTGAGGCAAATGTATTTAAAAATTTAAACTTATTTTGAAATCATTTTGGACTTACAAAAAAGTTGAAAATATCGTATGGGAAGTTCCTCTATATCCCCCACCCAGCTTCCTCAACTGTTAGCATTTTATATAACCATCGTATGATTATCAAAACCAGTAATTATCATTGGTAAGAAACTATCAATCTACTTCCATAGTGATACTGCCTAGGAAACCCAAGGAGGGGTCGCTATGAGTCGGGGCCAACTCAACAGCACACAACAACAACAACAACAAGAAACTATTAACTATGCACACCTTATTATAATTTCATCAATTATCCCACTAGTGTTCTTTTTCTGGACCAGAATTGAATCCAGAACCACAAATTTCTTTTATTTGTCATGTCTCTTTGCCATGGAGTCGATTCCAACTCATAGACCCTATAGGACAGAGTAGACGATTTCCAAGTCTGTAAATCATTACTGAAGGAGACTAACTCTTCTTTCTCCCATGGAAGAGAAACCTCCCAGCTGGTGGGTTCAAACAACTGGCATTTCTAACAGCAGCCAATTGCCTTAACCACTGCACCACCAGAGCTCCTTCATATCTCCTTAGTCTCCCCTAATCTGGGATAGTTCGTTGTCCTTTCTTGGTTTTTCATGACCTTGTCCCTTTTGAATAAATGGCCAGTGTTTTGTACATTGCGTTTGGCTAATGTTTCCTCATGATTAAATCCAGGTTGCATTTTTTGGCAAGAATATAACAGAAGTGGTTTTGTACCCTTTTCAGTGCCTTATATCGGAAAGTACCTCATAAGTCTCATCGTTGGTGATGTTAACTTTGATCATTTGGTTAAGGTGGTGTTTGCTAGGTTCTTTCCCTGTAAAGTTACTTTTTTTTCCCCTTTATAATTAATAGGTATCTTGTGAGGAGATAGTTTGATACAAGGCTAATTTTTTATTCATTCATTTTAATTGTGATTTGGGTGAAAGTTTACAGAGCAAATTCATTTACCATACAGCAGCTCACATACACTTTGTCTCAGGACACTGATTGCAATTTCCCACAATGCAACAGCTCTCTTCCCACTTCCTCCCCAGAGTTACCTCTTCCCTGTGTCCTTCCCTCCCATGCACTCCTGCCCCCTGAACTGTGCATACACAGCCCTTCTATTTTCCCATGAGTGATCTCTCCAAGGAGTGTATCTACTTAATGTAAATGTTCAGCTAATATGTCTGTAGTTTGTTTGGCTGGAAGCCAGAGGAGTGGGTTCAATTCCAGACCTGAAGGGCAGCTAGAGGCCATAGTCTCAGGGGTTCCACCAGGCTCTATCAGACCAGCAAACCTAGTCTTTTTTTTTTTTTTTTTGAGTTTTGTTCCACATTGTTCTCTCACTCTATCCAGGATCTCCTACATATATCTCCCTCCTAGTGGTTGACAGTGGTAGCAGGGCAGTTCTTCTGGTCTCATAGTCATATAGGCTGAGGATCACATGGTGTATCAGTCCCTTGGACTAATTGTTTCCATGAGTCTTTGGTTTTCTTCATTCTTCTCTGCTCTGGATAAGGAGAGACCCATTGTTGCATCTAGATGGCCGCTCGCAAGCTTTTAAGGTCCCAGTTGCTACTCGCCAAAGTAGGATGTGGAACAATGTTTTTGTGTAGTATGTTATGCCAACTGAACTTGATGTCCTGTCCCCTGTGACCATGGTCCCAAGCCCACAAGTCCAACTACTTGCTCCCTCTGGGTAGCTGGCTGTAGCCAAGAAGCAACTATAATTTTGTTCCTTGATAAAAGGCTTAATTTTTTAATGTAGATGATTGGGAAAACCAAAACCAAACTCACTGCCATCAAGTCTATTTTGACTTATAGCAAAACCCCCAATGGTTTTCCAAAACTGTAAATCTTTTAAGGAAGCTGACTGCCTCTTCTGCCAGAGGGACTGGAGGATTCCTAATGGTTGACCTCTTGGTTAGCAGCCAAATGCACTACCAGAGCTCCTTAGAAATAGGGAAGTCAGATGTAAATAAAATAAGAACTGGCAATTTAGAGCTAACAGGGTAACTCAGAGCTTCACAGGTAGTTGTGAAAGGATCAGTAGGAAAGGACTCCAGGTTGACTTAAAATGTTTAAGTGATCCACAGTTATTAGCAGCATGTGGGGACAGTACAACCGCTAGATAAGGTCAAGGCTCAGCGAGAGTTCCCCAGGGCCCTTTCTCTCGCCTAATAGTGCCGCCTTGGAAATCGTTGGGCTTGCAGTGCACCACCTCGGATTCCAGAGACAGACTAGACTAGTGGCGCCAAAAGGGCAAACGTGCGAAGCAATCCCAGGTGGCTGGTCCGGCAGCCAAACGCGCACGCGCCGGGAGGAGGCGTGGGGCGGGGCTGCGGCGCGGGGGCGGGGCCGCGGCGCGCAAGCGTGCTCGTGGCGGGTCCCTGCGGCTCGGGATGGAGGGTGAGTGAGTAAACAAGCCCGGACGGGGTGGTGGGGCTGGGCCTCCACGCTTCACCGCCCCAAGCCTGAGAGAGGGCGAGGCGAAGGGATCAGGGAATTGGGAGGAAGCAGAGAGATACACTTCCTGCCTTGCTGGGGTGGCGGGGCGCCCCTTCCTCGTTCCGAGGACTGCGGGAAAGGGGGCGATGGGATGAGGGCGCCCCCGGCGAGGACCGTATCTGAGGCGGGGAGGGCGGCGTGTCCGGGAGGAGGAGCGGCGGGGGGGGGCCCGGGGACGGGGAATCCCGTTGGAGGGCCGGGTGGGCCGGGTGGGCGGGAGCCGGAGCGCAGAGCCGGCGGGGGTGGCTGCAGGGCCCTTAGCGCGAGGTCGTCTCTTGGGGACCTGGGGCCGGGCACGAGGAGGGCCAGAAACAGGGGGCTCGGCTTGCTATGGCTTTGGGGGGTCGTGGCAGCAAGAGGAAGGGATGGTGGTTAAGAGCAGGGTCATGACTAGGGTGAGACGAGTGAGGCGCCTTGGGCGCAGAATTAAGGGGCGCTCGCAGGGTCGTGCATGTGCAGCCCGAGTGCCCGGGAGCTAGCTCCTCGTTCGCCTTACCCTAGTCCGGATCGAACAGAAGAGGCGGCTTCCCCTCCAAGTGTGGTCAGCCATCAATCCCTGCCTGCCCCAGAGTTCTAAGAGTCATGTTATAAGTGAAAGCTCCTTGAAGCAAAGGCAAATTTTTGTATTTGAGACGTGCCTGCTAGGAAATCTGGGACAAACTTCTGTTTTGGTAAAAAGTTACTACTGAGGAATTGTTCCGGGAGCAGCGAGGGAAAGTGATACAGAAGGGTGTTAGTGTCGCCGGTGGAATCCTGAGAGTGGTCTTTTGAAAGGTGAAATACAGAATTTTAACTGGAGTAGCCTACGTATCTTTGTTTAGGAACTAGAGGGGTTGAGGATGAGGCTATAGAGCTGAGGCAGATGAACAATTTTTTGTGTGCAAGGATGGCGTTGAAAGTGTGGGTCTCTTTCACGGCGTTTGTTTCCAGGATGTCTTTGCAGAGAAAAATCCTCCCACCCTCTGCTTTTAAGTTAAGGGAGGTGGTATTGAATGAAGTTTCCAGCCTGAAAAGGTGCTAACTCCACTAGAAGTTTCTGTGAGAGTGTGTCTCTTTGAAGCTTTGGAGTCCCCAAGGCTTGGATGGTGTGACATTGATAAAAGAGATTACTTACCTGAAGAGTTTGAGTTAGGAAATAAGTACTTTTTTAAAAAATTTTTTAACACATATGGAGTAGAGGAAGACAGCATCTATAAAACTATAATAACACCATTATTGTTAGGGTTTATGCTGAGTGGGTGTATCATGGTGTGAATTAACTCCTTGAGGGGAGGAGTGTTTGTTTTTATTCACTGATGTAGCCCAAGCACCTAAAACAGTGGAAGTCGCATACTGGGTACTTGATAAATACTATTCAATTAATAAATAGTGGAAGGGGGGTACTGGTGCATCAGGGGACTGAGATTGGGAGCCAGGAGATCTGGATTCTGTCTGTCACTATCTGACAGCGTTTGTAGGCCAGTCATGCAACTTGATACTAAGGCACAGCTTTAAAACTCCTTGGGGTATAAATGACCTCTTCCACATGATGGTTACTATAGTTTAGTGTCTGTTGAAACAGTGCTAGAATAAAGGATAATGAAATTTTATCCCCAAGAAGACTTTTGAGAGAAGAAAAAGTTAAGAAAATGTAGTCAAACTTGTTTCTCTTATATTTGCCTTTGAATTAATACCCTTTTAAAAAATGTTAATTTTGTCTGTTTAGTTCTTGGTATCTCAAACCTGGCCTTATTAGTCCTATGGACAACAGCTGCTGTCAGTAATTTGTACCTAATATGAAACATGTAACAAGTCATTGGTGTTTTTTTTTTCAGTCTTGGACTAAGTTGAAAAGTTTTTTTCTACTTTGTTCAATAGTGTCTTGTTGTTGTTGTTGTTATGTGCTGTCCAGTTGGACCCAACTCATAGCCACCCCTCCTTGGGTTTCTGAGCTCTGGTAGCATAGTGGCTAAGACACTTGCCTGCTAACCAGAGGGCTGGCGGTTCACTAAGTGTTGCAAATGGTTAAGTGTTGTTGTTGTTGTTGTTGTTATGTGCCATCGAGTCAGCCCTGACTCATAGCTACCTCTCCTTGGATTTCCGAGGTGGTATCACTACGGAAGTAGATTGCCCCATCTTCCTTCTGAGGAGTGGCTGGTGGGTTTGAACTGCCAGCCTTCTGGTTAGCAGTCTAGTGCCTTAGGCACTATGCTACCAGAGCTCCTGAATAGTGTCTTAGGTGTCTAGTACTAAGTGGGGGAAAAAAGAAAGAACACTGCCATCGAGTTGATGCCAACTCATATTGACCTCAGTTGGGTTTCCAAGGCTGTAAATATTCACAGAAGTGAATGACTTTAACAAACAGAAATGTGTTCTCTCACAGGTTAGGAGGCTAGAAGTCCAAATCCAGAGTACCAGCCCTAGGGGAAGGCTTGCTCTCTGTGAGCTCGGGGGATGGGGAGAGTCCTTGTCTCCTTTCAGCATCTGTGGGTCTGGAGTTCCTTGCAGATCTCCATATGTCTCGGCATCAATATTCACCACCGTCTAGGAAGGTCTCAGTGCAGATACCCCAGGTCCAAAGGATGCACTTCCCTCCCAGCTCTAATTTCTTGGTGGTAGTCAGGTTCCTCTGTTCTCTGCTTGCTTGTTTAATCTCTTTCATACCTCAAAAGAGATTGACTCAAAATACAGCCTAATCCTATAGATCATATTCTGCCTCTTTAATATAACTGCCTCTAATTCTGCCTCATTAACATTATACAAAAAAAAAAAAAAAAAACCCAAGCTTACTGCTGTCCAGTAGATTTCGACTCATAGCAGCTCCTCCTTGGGTTTCCAGGGCGGTATCTCTACGGAATTAGATTGTCCAGTCTTCGTTCCATGGAGTGGCTGTTGGGTTTTGAACCGCTAGCCTTCTGGTTAGCAGTCAAATGCCTTAGACACTATGCCACCAGAGCTCCTTAAATACCAATGTTGTTGTTGTTGTACCATAATAGTCACTAAATATTAAGCTTTGTGCTAGTGTAGTACAGAACCAGCCAAAGAGATTGTTAACTAACTCTTCTAAATCAGCATTGCACATCCTGTGAGCCAGCATTTTCCTTTGGGGCTCATAAAATCTAATCCTGCTTTGATTTTTATCATCGTTGTTTCTGGTGCAGTTGACCTGATTCTCTTAATGAAGCAATGATAGAAAATATTAATATTGTAATTATATTTTCAGTTAGAATTCAGGGTCACAGTTTCTTGTTAGTAAGGTTCTTTCTATGTGTATAGTGCCCAGCTCAGGTTAATGAGAACAACTTTAACACCTTGGAGAAGCAGGAGGGCACAAATTAAAGATATGCTTGATAACCATTTGAGGGATCTTTCAGGCTATGTACCTAGCCACAGAGTTGGTTTTAATGGGAACATTGATGAAATTGGCGGTCACCAGAATGACTCAATTGTGTGTTCCTAAAGCTCTTTACAAGGAACCATGGTGGTGCAGTGGTTAAGCACTCAGCTGCGAATCAAAAGGATGACCGTTCGAACCCACCTAGTGGCTTGGCTTAGGAAGAAAAGACCAGGTGATCTGCTCCTTGTGGGGCAATGCTACTCTGTCATATACATCACCATGAGTCACGATCCCCTCATGGCACACAGCAACAACCGAGCTCTCTGCAGGGATAGATTCACTCTTCTGTTCATGTTACAAACTCCACTGTGAACTGAAAAGGAAGGAATGAGATGGAAATTTTAAAAACCTACAGTGCCAACTGCCTCCAAAGCCTTACTGAGCCTGCTGGTTAATAAAATTATTTTTGTACAAGAGAAAGTAGTAAAGATACTGAACTTGCCCGTAAGACAAAGAAGGTATTTCTACAAAGGAACACCTTTAGGTGGATAAAAAAACTGCGTAGTTTGGAATTTTAAAATTCTGATCTCAGTCTTTCTAAGTTTAAGAATATTGTTGCTTAAATGTTTTATTGCCAAACAATTTCAATAATGTTTTCCCCTTTCTAACTAGTGACAGACTACGTTCTAGTTTTAGCCTTTGAGATCCAATTTTCTGGGGAAAGATTTCCAAGTTTTTATAGCTGCTTTTCCTGTAGAGATTTGGCATGTAAAGAAGATAGTTCTTATTTTCAGCGATCAATCTTTTTTTTATTAAACTTTAATTTTTAGAACAATTTTTAGATTTACAAAGTCAGTTGTAAAGATAGTAGTACAGAGAGTTCCATAAACCCTGAACCCAGCTTCCCGTTATTAACACTGTACGTTGGCATGGTACATTTGATGAATGAACACTGATCAATCTTTTATTATTAGTATTCATTCTAAGCAAGAATTTTGTTTTTGAAGGTGGAATTGCCTGTAGATTACGATTATTAAGAAAAAGTTATTTTTTCTTTATTCAACTTCATTGAGTGCAAAAGTACATGGGGGCAGCAAAATCACCATCAGCAGCCCTAGGCTGATTCCTATGAGGCCAGACATGCTGCCACCCTCCAGCCTTTTTGCCAAGTCTGACACCAGCCATCCTTCCCATGGCACTCACTACTTCTCTGCTGGGTTTGATAATTTGTTGCAGTGACCACACAGAACTCACAAACTATTATGGAGTTTATTAGGGAAGTAACAGGTTACAATTCAGGTTCAGGAACTGCTCGGGATACAATTCTTTGATCAGAACAAGCTTCCCTCAGCCTTGTCCTCTCTTTGTCCCTTGGCTTCTCCGCCTGGCTTTTGCCCTGCTTGGGAAAGTATTACAAGGCTCTTTTAGCTCTGTTGATAGGTACATCTGGGTGTACCCCCTTCACCAGTAAGTCTCTTGCATAAAGGCAGTCAGCTTTCCCCCTTCTTTGGCCAGCAAGCCCACCACTCTGTCTTACGCCTCTTGGCTCTGATGCCATCAATTTCTCTGCCAGCCATCTCTGCCA